AATATCTTTTAATAGTATAAGAATAAAAAATATGAATGGAATTATTATACTTTTTAATTTTAATACATAAATAAGAAAATATAAAATTTCTGTTTAATATTTAGATTGTTAATAATAATATATAAATTTGATTAATAGTATTAAATTTAGAAATGTATTTTATAGAATTAATAATCATTAAATTACTTGCCACTCATCTTATTCATGTTTAATTATGTCTTCACAAGTAATGATTTCAGCTTAACTATCTTTAATTGATTCCGGTGATTAAAGGAATGTATCAATCAGATTTGCCAAATCTACATAATAATCAATCATATTTACTTTATTTTTTTTCTTACTCTTATTCCTCATTAACTGTCAACAATACATCATTAATAGCTGCTGATACCGTTTCATTAAAGTTAATTAAAAAATTAGTGATTTCTTAAAATACTTCTGCACATCCTTATAATTATTATACTTAATCACATTTTTCTAAATATGTTGAAACTTTTCCCAAAGCCAAAGAACCTATAACTCCTCCAAACTAATCATAATTAATATTTAATACTAGCCACTTCAATGAGATATTAGGAATTATAACATTCCATGGTAATGCAGATTTTCCAACTAATGCATGATAAATAACTAAAGCTGCACCATATGATAAATTAGATTCTGATAATCCATTTGAATACAAATACTTTCCAAATTTCTCAGCTCCTTAGGCTAACATCTTAATTAATATATGTTTTGAATATGTCTAACATATATAAATTATTAATATTACCTTATAATCAAAATCATCAGATGGACTAAGAATTCCTTTAATTTCAGCTGTTAATTAAGCTTCTTTAATTTTTCCAGAGGGATTCCATAATTCATATAACTAAACTCTTGTAATATTGTCAACAGCTATTTCAATTTAAAGATTCCAATAAGCTATTGAACTAGCTAAATCATTTAATGCTCCAAAAGTCTTATTGTCTAATTTCAATTTCTCCACATCCAAATCTTAAGGAATTCCATAATGTCTAATTAATATCAAATTCTAATATGGTTTGATTATCAGTTCTGAAAATAAACCCAATATTTCTATGTCAACCAATTAGATGAATTTATAAATTGCTAATTTCCTCTAATTTCTATCACTTACTTTGGCTGGCTAATATTTATAAAATCATTATATGATACTATATAATTTTAAAAAGCTTGTTTTCTTAATGGTTAATAAAATGATGACAGATAGGGTGGCAATTAAAGATTAAAATCAACAGTATTTGTTTTAGTTGTTATGAATTATCGTATTTCATCTAAATCATCAAATTAAGGGTATTAACTTTGGAATTAACTTTACATTGTTATTTTTTAAATAATATTTTAATTAATATTATAATTATTTTTTAATTCATTCATCTTTATCCTCTTAAGTGTTAACCATTCTTATTATAATTTTAATATAATTTTTTTATTTCTTCTTCCACTTCTTATTTCTTAGATATTTTTTAGACTAGATTCTCTTAAATATGATTTGTAGTCATTTATTCAATATCTGAATTACCTGAATGTAATAAGATATTAGAAATTATATCTTCTTTATCTGTAGCCCAATCCAAATAAATTCTCTCAAACTCATAAGAGGATAAATTATCAGTTTTTTTATTATTATTATTATTATTTTTGAGTCTTTCCTTTTTTAACATTAATTCTTTCTTAATTTTTTCAATCACTTCTTTCTTTCTCTTTTCTATTTCCTCTTCATATTCACTAATTGCTTAATTTTAATTACTTTCATTATTTTAATTACTTTAATTACTTGGTTAATCATCATCATCACATTATTTTTAAAATTCTTATCTTCTTAATTATGTCTAAGCTTCCTAATATCTCTAATCATTATATTATTCATATTCTTAATTTTCAAAAAGTTCTTCTTCTTCACTTAATTCATTATAATCATTTTATAATATCTTCTCTGCATATCTTAATTCTTCAATATTATCAATTATATGTTAAGTAATCTATCTCTCATAATTTATTATATCTCTTTCTCTTTAATTTTTATAATCAAATTCATTTATTAAATCATTAATCATCTTATTAAATTCATCATCTTTCATCTTTTAATTTTAATCCCTTATTTAAGTATTTCTAATCTAATCTAAATAATCCTATTCCAATTAAATTTATTTTTTATTCTCATCTATTTTTTATTAATATTTTTTAATATTATTTTCATATTGATTATTCTTAATACTTTCAAATTAATCAGACTTAATCTATCTTTAATAAACAGCTTACATTTCTTCTTAAAGATCTTCTAAATTTTCAATTATTTCTGCTTCAGATTCAGATGCTATTCTTTAAAATTCATCATTTGTAAAAAAAACTTCATTATTATTAATGTTTTCATTTTTTATATTATTATCTACATCAACACTAATTTCTTTTTTAATTTAAGAATTTTTCTTTATTTCAACCTTCTCATAATTATTAAATTTAAATTTCTAATTTTCAGATTATAATTCATCTATTCCTTAATAATCATCATCCTAATTCAAAGATTATTTATTATTATTTTAAATTTGATTATCATTAGATTTCTAATCATCATTATTATTATCAATAGAAATATTAACATCATTCTCTTAGATCTATGTATCTATTCCATTTTATTATATATCATCTTCTAAAAATTGATCTTCATTATTGTTGTTCTACTTATAAGTAACTAATTATTCAGGATTATTCACAATAAAAACTTTAACTTCTTCTTATTCATTTTTTGATTCAATATTAATAGTTGGAATCTATTACAACGTTTATTATTCTAATTCATTATTTAAATCATCTACATAATAATCATCTTCCAAAGAATTGAAAATAACTGGATCATTATTTGTAGATATTGTTATATATTACAATGTATCATTGCTATCTTATTCTTCTTAATTTTTACTATCATTATTTACATTCTAAATTTTCGTTGAATCCTAATTCAATTCATTCTATATTTTTGTTTAATCCTAACTCAATTAATCAAGTTCTCTTGCTAATTCATCCAATTCAGATTAGATTTCTTCAAATTTTGTTTCATCAACATTAATATCAGCTTTTGTTTTATCCTTATTCAAATTATCTTAAACAATATCATTTTATTTATTATTCTTTTCTTTTTCAGTATTTTATTTAACTTTTTATGATTTATCTTTTAAAATATTTGATTTCTAAGGGATTTGTGAATCTTCAATTATTATTGGAATCAAATCTGAATTTTCATTTTCAAATATATTTAGATCTACATTATCAGATTCAGCTTATACTTTTATTAACTCTCCTATTAATTTTTAATCTTTTGAATCCATATTACCATCCTATTTAGATTTAGTAGATTTAACTTTTAAATTTTATTATTTATTTTTCTTATCATTTTACTATTTCTTATTGTTTTTAAGCACATTAGATAATTATTTTTTATTTACTTTTTCATCTAAAGTTATATCTTTTTCTTAATTTACACTTTATTTATCCAATTATTAATTTTGTTTAGTTTCTATTTTAGAATTAATAGTGTTAAATTCATCTAAATCAATTTATTCAGATTCTTCTAAATCTTTCTCATTGTTTAAATCTATTTCTTACTATTCAATTTAATTATTATTATCCATTACTCCAAAAATTCTTGGAGTTGTTTTAATTTCTTCATCTATTTTAATAATAATTAAATCTTCATTCTAAGATTATGTGTCTTCTTTTTTAGATTTAACTACTTAATGTAATTATTCTATTTTAATATCTTAAATAATTATATCATTATCATTATTATTTTCAATTTTTTAATCTGATTATAAAATCTTATTTTGTATCTTACCATCTTTAATTGAATTAAGTATTTTTTTATTATAAATAATTTCTTCTTTTTATTTTTTTTCATTTAAATTCTGTGTTTCTTTTGAGATTTCCTTTTCAACTTGAATTGAAATCTTAGAATTCTCTTTATTTATATCTTAAGATTCCTTTTATTGAGAATATTACTCTATAACCTCTGTTGGTTCATGTTCTATTAATAATGATTATTATGAAAAGACTTTTAATGATTTTTGAAAGGGTTCAATCAAAAATAAGTTATTTGCTTCATTTCTAGACTGATTAGTAAATCATTTATACTTATCATCACTTATATAATTTACATTATCCAACAATTTATTTTCAGTTACTACATCTCGAATTAATTAACTTCCAATTTAATTATTTATGTTTATTGGTAGCATTTCTTTAGTTTCAAAAGCTAGTTAACTTTATACAGCTGTTACTATTACTAATAGTATCAACTTAATGCCATGAAATTATAACATATTAATATATTTATTATAAAAACGGATTTATAGGTAACTAAATGCTCTATGCTCTTTCAGTTAAATTTTAAATAGCTCAAATCTTCAATTATTATTGAATGTTAAGTTATTATATGATTTTATATTATTAATATATAATTATTACATTTTTCATTTTATACTTCAAGTCAAACAATATAATAACTAAACTTAAATCTCAACAATTAATACAAATGATTTAATCCATAAATTAATAGCTATCCATTTTGGTAGAACTTGATAATTATATAAAAATATCCTCATTTTTATCTCACTCTTTTTTTTTATTGTTTCTTTTCATTTTATTTAGCTTTTTCCTCATTATATTCTGATTCCTCATCTTCTATAACTTTCAACTTTTTTTTCTTTTAGTCTCTGTTTTCATAAATACGTTTTGAAGAAATATATCCAGGTTCAATAGAATCTATTTTTGGTGATGGTTTTTAAGATTATTATTTATTATTTCTATTGTTTAATCTTACTTCTCTTTTAGAAGAATCACCATTTTTTGTTTCTTATATATCTTTTACATCTATTTTATCCTATAAATTTACATCATCCTATTTATCATCTCTTTTTTTATTTTAAGATTATTTTTATATTGAATTATCAATTTCCCTATTTTTATTATCTTTAGAAGGTTTTTTTTATTTTGAGTGAGCAACTTCATTAAGTTATTCATAATCTATTTCATTCAAATATTATTAATGTTCCTTTCTTCTTTTTTCTTTTCTTTTTTAATTAATTTTTTCTTTTTTTTTAATTTCATCATTTGTTTCTAATCTACTCAATGGACATTCTCTAATTTTTTGATTCTTAACTTTTTTTTATCCTTTTGATTAATTATTATTAGTTTTCTATGTTAGTTCAATTGAATCTATTTATTTTGACTCTTCAATTAATTATTAATTACTTTATTATGATTTATGCTCCTTATCTTTTTTATCTAATTTTCTTTATCTATCTTAAGTTATTTTAAAAATCTAAATAGAATCAGCATCTAAGAGATCTTCATCCTTCTTCTCTTCATCACTTTCTAAATAACTTACTTTATTTTTCATTCTTTTAGTTTCTATTTATTCTTATTGAGATTTATCTTTTAACTCTTATTAATCTGTTTATTATTATTATTATTTTTATTATTATTATTTTTGTTATTTTTATTATTATTATTTTTGTTATTTTTATTATTATTATTTTTGTTCATCAACTGATAAATTATCCTATTCCTCATTCTTCTAGATATCTTATACTTTTTTCCTTTCAGTATTTTTGATTACTCTCTTTTCTTTCACTTATTTTTATTCATTTATATTTATATTTAAATTTTCCTACTCTTTTTATATGAATGATTCTTTTTCTTTGATTTCCTCAGATTCTTTTTATTCTTCAACATAATGTATAGTTACTCTATCAAATATTGCTTACTTAGTTATTAATACTGATGTCATATTAGCTTTATGCAATTACATAAACATTTAATCTGACATTCTTTTTTCAAAATTAAAGATTTCACTTTCACCTTTACTAATTAAAGCAATTTCTGAATATCTTAACCATTTAATTGTATCTTTTTATTTTTATCTTATTTGACATCTATAAAGTATTAATCCTTAATTAATTTATTTTTTTGTTAATATTTTAAAAACTTATCTTTATTCTAACAATTTTAGTTTTTCCTTCTCCTATAATTATTTTTCATGTCTAATCTATCTAGCTTATTGTGCTTCTTAAAGTTATTATTATTTAATTGCTGATTCAGTTTATTTTAATTCTTTTTCTTTTTGAATATCCTATTACATTTTCTTTTACTATTCTATACTTTTATCTTTATCATCTTTCTTTTATAGTTTAGATTCTTTATGATGTTCACCTTTATCATCTAAACGATGTTTTTATATCTATAAAGGTACTATTTTCTATTTTTCAAGTGTATTAACTTTTCTATCCTTCATTTTAGATAATCCAATTAATAAACTATTGATACATTCTAAACCTTCTAATAATTCATCTTATTCTAAAGGTTTATTCCATTCTTCTACAATTAATTCTTACTTTTTATATAAATCTTCCCTACCTTTTAATCTTAAATAAATCAATGAATTTTTAGGATTATAAAATTTCTATTTATATTTTTATTTAGTTCTATCTTCTACTTTGTTATTTTTGAATTAATTAATTTCTTATACTTTTTGTTATTCTTTTTAAATTGATGGAACTTTAACAATTGATTTTGATTATTGTTATTTTTTAGTTATTAAATCCTATTTCAACTATTCCTTTCTCTATTCTAATTTTAATTATTCTTATTCAATATCTATTTCTTCAATCACATTTTAATCTTCAAAATATTATTCAATATATTAAGGTTCTTCAAGTGCTATTGTAGGTGGACTTGGATCTTTCGGTATTTCTATTGCATCCTATGATCTATCACTATCTTATTATTCTTATTCTGATAATTCATCAAAATTGACCTACCATTATTATTTCTGAATATCCACTTTTCTTCTTATTATAGGCTCCTCTTCTTCTTATATCAAAATAGATGGTATTTCTACAGTCTCTTTTTTTACTTATAAAATTGTATTCAATTATTCTAATCTATTAGGAATTGGACTTGGCTTAATTATTTATTATTAATTATTTGACGATTTAGAACTCTCTGATTCATTATCTGAAATGTCTTCTATGTCGTAAAAGTCTAGAATGTAATGACTCTATTATTTGTTATGTTTCATATTTAATATTTTGATTCATATCATTTTTTGATAAATTACATAGAGAAAAAGAAAAGAATGATTTTTTTAATTTCCAAAAAAAAACATTCATAATCAATTTTTAATTTAAACACTAAAATTAAACCATTAATTGATGGATANCCTATAATTATTTTTCATGTCTAATCTATCTAGCTTATTGTGCTTCTTAAAGTTATTATTATTTAATTGCTGATTCAGTTTATTTTAATTCTTTTTCTTTTTGAATATCCTATTACATTTTCTTTTACTATTCTATACTTTTATCTTTATCATCTTTCTTTTATAGTTTAGATTCTTTATGATGTTCACCTTTATCATCTAAACGATGTTTTTATATCTATAAAGGTACTATTTTCTATTTTTCAAGTGTATTAACTTTTCTATCCTTCATTTTAGATAATCCAATTAATAAACTATTGATACATTCTAAACCTTCTAATAATTCATCTTATTCTAAAGGTTTATTCCATTCTTCTACAATTAATTCTTACTTTTTATATAAATCTTCCCTACCTTTTAATCTTAAATAAATCAATGAATTTTTAGGATTATAAAATTTCTATTTATATTTTTATTTAGTTCTATCTTCTACTTTGTTATTTTTGAATTAATTAATTTCTTATACTTTTTGTTATTCTTTTTAAATTGATGGAACTTTAACAATTGATTTTGATTATTGTTATTTTTTAGTTATTAAATCCTATTTCAACTATTCCTTTCTCTATTCTAATTTTAATTATTCTTATTCAATATCTATTTCTTCAATCACATTTTAATCTTCAAAATATTATTCAATATATTAAGGTTCTTCAAGTGCTATTGTAGGTGGACTTGGATCTTTCGGTATTTCTATTGCATCCTATGATCTATCACTATCTTATTATTCTTATTCTGATAATTCATCAAAATTGACCTACCATTATTATTTCTGAATATCCACTTTTCTTCTTATTATAGGCTCCTCTTCTTCTTATATCAAAATAGATGGTATTTCTACAGTCTCTTTTTTTACTTATAAAATTGTATTCAATTATTCTAATCTATTAGGAATTGGACTTGGCTTAATTATTTATTATTAATTATTTGACGATTTAGAACTCTCTGATTCATTATCTGAAATGTCTTCTATGTCGTAAAAGTCTAGAATGTAATGACTCTATTATTTGTTATGTTTCATATTTAATATTTTGATTCATATCATTTTTTGATAAATTACATAGAGAAAAAGAAAAGAATGATTTTTTTAATTTCCAAAAAAAAACATTCATAATCAATTTTTAATTTAAACACTAAAATTAAACCATTAATTGATGGATACTGAACTTTCATTTTTAAATTTATTTTATATAATGTAGTAAAATTATTAAAATGATTTTCATCCATATTATTTATCAATACAAAAAAGTCAACCCCTTTATTAAATCTTCTCCTAACACATCTATATTCTAATTTAAAATCCAAATTATCTAATTTTATTTCTCCTAATCTAATTAAGATAATTAATAATAATTGTTTTAAGTATATATCTAACATTCCTTTAAATCATAGGTTTTATTCATTTTAATCAATACATCCTTATTCAATCTAGATGTATTGCTTTTCATTAGTTTTTTTATTTCCTTATTATATTTCATCCAAACATATGAATCAGGACATTATATTTCTAATCCTTTGAATTATAATTTATAATTCATTGCTTAACATGTTGATATAATATAACTCAAAGATGAATATTTAAAATTTGGAAAATACTTTTACACCCTTCTCACATATTCCATTTCTACAAAAGCAGCAAATACTCCAAAACTATAAGGTTTCAAACTAGGATCATAAAATAAATATTCAGACAATAATTAAGTTTTTGTTAATTCAATTACTCCACAACCAATTAATTTACCCTTTATTTGGTATTCCATAAATCTTTACCCTAAAATTAATTTTACATTCTAGCTTTTATTTTATATACACTAATCAGCCAATATAATTCTTGTTGCGTAATAATTTGTAAAACTCTCTAAAGAAGATTATGAATTATGAACTTAAGCCATATAATTCAGATAAAGTGTTACATTTTCTTCACTTTAGTAAGGATCTCTAATTTTATTATCATACATATATTATACACTATTTTTATTGTCATATCACCTATTTTAAAATCATTCAATGTAAAACTCTAATCATCTATCACATTAATTTAATTCAAAACTTCTTTTACTTATCCTTTTTCTTATTTCTCTTTTTTTTTTCCTTCATTATTTTATTATTTCTTATTCCCCTCCTTTTTTCTTTATTATTATTCCCTCCCAATTTTTAATATATTAAAATAACCATCTTTATTTTATAAAAGTTTGTATTCTTTCATTATAACTTTTTCATTTAATTTTATACCTAACATTTTATTAAATTATTATTAGACTATCTATTTAGATTTTAATAATTTTATATTTTGATCATACAATATTAAATTATGATTAGTATAATAACCAAGATCATCATCATTTTCAAATATTTTTAATTGATATTAATTTACAATCTCAAAATTTAAATTCTAATCGATCTCTTCATTTATCATTTTACAACAAGAAATGAGTATTATCTATATTTCATTCATCAATTCTTGAACATCTTCTAAATTTACAATTTTCTAAACTTTTTTCGATTATTATTTAAGTTATTTATTGATTACTTATTATGGTTAATTATCTTCCTTATTTAATTTACTTTTCTCTTTGAAATCTAAATTAGGATATTTTTTTATAACATCATCAATAAAATTATTAATTATAGTTTTCTATTTTTTTGTTGGTAAATTTTCTTATACATTAACTCTAGAATTATAACCTAAACAACAAGAATTATGATGATTATATTTTCGAAAATATTTAGCATTTCTTACAAAACCCCTATCAAGAAGAAGTTCTAAAATCTCAATGCTAAAATTGCTGTATGGATGAAGATAATAAATATATTAGTGTTTACCACATTCATATAGACAAGATGATTTTTATGATTTTAATACTTTCAAATATGTAACACTCTTAGGCATAATTATTTAGTAATTATTTTCTTGAACAGGTTCATGTGTACTTGTATACAAACAGCATCCCATAAAGTAATATATAATAATAAATAATAAATATAATTATCAGGATTTTATAAAATAAAATACAAAACTCCATATCAGAAGAATCATTTACCAATTAAAATAAGAAAAGTAGATAAAAAATATAAAATATTTATGAAATTGAAGAAACATATCATATATAACACAAAATACTTTTATAATTAAATATATATATAATCCTACATATTTTTAAAATCAATCCTTATAGATTTCTTGATCATTTGAAAATCTAAAATGATACATTAAATCATTTCCTAATATTTAAGCATTATTAATCAAGATTTTTGATAATTCATCTTGTTATTCCTCTTCACATACTATATTTGCCTTTACTGCCATACCTGATAACAAAATTGTTACTTTAGAGAAATCTAAAGGTTAAAATGGAATCGGTGGACAAACTTAAAGAATTTACTATTCCATTTTATTTCTAATTTAATCATTATATTCTGTCCATATATAAGTAAGAGGACATTGAATTTCAATTCCACTAAATTATAATTTGTATTCCATTTTTTTAGTCTTAAAAGTACAATAACCAAGAGTATGATATTTGAATTTTGGGAAATGCTTTTAAATCCTTTTTGCATACTCGAGTTCAATTAATATTGAAAATACACCAATATCAAAATCTTTAAATTCAGGAAGGTAGAAAAAATATTCTGAGATAAAATATTCTTAAGTCAAAATAATTGCACTTATTGCTATAAGTTTACCATTTATTGTGTATTCCATATATCTCTGTCCTAATCTTATTTTAATATTTGACTTATCATCTTCCAAAAATGTGTTTCTATCTAAATAATCTTTACAATATAATTTTATGATCTCCTAATCATCATCATTTCTATTATGAACTACTCTGTGATATTCAAAAATGAAATCAATTATTTCTCTATTTTAATTTATATCCCTAAAAATATCAATATTTCATTACTTAATTTTTATTTAAATAGGACCAACTTCAAATTGATTAAATGAAAAAGTATCCGAATTAATCAAACTCATATCCTTGTATTTACTTTATTTTTTTATTTAATTCTAATCAACTTATTTTTACTATAAACAATGTTCTTATTATTTTTCAATTAATTTTTATTATTCTTATTTTTTAGTTTATTATTATTTTGTAGTTTATTATTATTTTGTAGTTTATTATTATTTTGTAGTTTATTATTATTTTGTAGTTTATTATTATTCTTTAATTGATTATTATTATTATTACTATTATTATTATTATTATTCTTATTATTCTTATTATTCTTATTTTTTTTAAGATAATTGATCATTTTTTTGTGAATTGTGAATTAATGTTAAAAACCCTTTATTTTTTTATTTAACTAAAAATTCATTATTATCCTAATTCAATTTGGATAAAATGCTTCCTAAAATTCCATTAAATTGAGCTTATGAATAATTCTTAGCTTTAAAAATTTTTTTGTTTTAATGAAAAAGCAATAAGTTAGCATTAGAATAAAATTTAATATTATTTTATTTTATAAATATCTAAACACTGTCTTCTTATAATGTAAAATTAAGATTTTCTTCTTAAATTAATTCCTCAATAGATTTTTTACATTATTAAATTGTTTAATTTATAATCTAATAGAAATTAATCTTTTATTCAGAATTAATAAGATGTTGTTATTGATATTTAAGTGAATTATTTTGCTAAAGATCTTTTTATAAAATAACTTATTTTACAATTTTTGGTTTTTATTATAGATCTTCTCCTTTAGCATATAACTCTAATAATGTTAAAAGTTTTTAAGCTTTTCTCATTTGTTTTTTTGAAGGTTAAAATTTTTATAAAATGATTCTCATGTTATAAAGAGTACAACAACTAGTGGTTTTTGATTTGTAATAAAAATCTCCATTTCTAACAAATAATCTCTCAATAAGCATTTGATGAGTTTAAATGAGAATGGTTGAAAAATTTTCTAAGTACTAGAAAATGGTCTAATTTCCACACTCAAACAAACATTTACCTGCATAATCATTCATTTAATAAATTTAGATAGTAGGTTTTAATTAAAATCTACAATTAATAGGCTATCTATTTTTTAAAGGTTTATTATAACTAACACTTCCCATTTATTATTAATTTATTTCAAATAGAAAATAATTTAAAATTCATTACCTTAAAGAAGGAATTAATAGCTCTAAGATTATATAATTGATCTTGAAAATGTCTTCAAAAAGTGATGAAACTTTAATATTCAAAATGAATAAACTAGATCAAGTAAAATAAATCTGGTTGATGTAATTAACATTTGATTCAAGTACAATATCAATGAGTTATAAAAATTATCAAAATTCTAATTATTTAATAAAGAAAATACAAAATTAATGAAAAGATTTACAAATCAATATAGGATAGCATTAGAATTATAAATATAGCTATTACTGATTTAGAATATAAATTATTGAAAGAATTAAAAATAAATATTCATAATAAGGAAATTATAATATTAAGAGATGGATAATTAATAAGATTAAAAAGGCTATTAAAAGATCTTACAGAAATCCTCTATTATAAAAATAATATTACCATCAAAATAATCAGTTTTTAGCCATAGGATTAATTTATTGTATTTAGACCAAAAATGATTATAGTATTGTTTTATTGTGATTTAAATAGTTAATCACAATCATTGTTAAATAACAAAGAGATGATTTAAAATAAATTAAGTTTAATTTCTAATTTTGAATAATTAAAAGTGATATATATATATATATAAAATATTTTAATATCAATTGAAAAAACATGTCTAAATAAAATGTAAAGGCCACCTCATCAACTCTTGCTGAGTCGGCATACATGAATGAAGCACAATTAAATTAATACAACTTTAGTTTAAAAGTGGCTTAGAAAATTTTACAAGTATAAATAGAAATCACTTCTGATTCTCTAATCATTGAAGCCGTCGAAACAGCCATTGATTATTTCACTCAAATATATTATGATTAAGATATAAATGAAAATGCTGAGATTTATGAAGTATTTTCTGCTGATCAATAAGGAAATCCTTTAAAAACTAAGTTTAAGACAGAATAATTACTTTAGGAAATAGAATGCAAGTCTTTTGCTTTAGTTGTTAAAAAGAAGGGTACTTTATTATCTATTTTAAAATAACCTATCTTGAGAGAGTCTCCTACAAAAAGCACTAAAGAATAACCTAAGTTCAGATATGACACTACTATTTCCAAATGATTACTAAACCTTTTATAATTTATTTAAAACCATATATGTTAAATTTATTCTTATATAAATAAAATAATCTTAGTTCTATTATTTTAGTAAACTTCTTTCTATTATTTTTTATATCAATAGGTTAGTTTGAAATAAATTATGATTATAATACTCATTTTTAAGTTTTGATTCTACTCTATTATTCAAGAAAACTTTTCAATTCTGATGGCATAAGTAATTTCTCTGCCTCATGCTTTGGTAGTATTTCCTTTATTATTTAAGCAGCTTAAGCGAATTTTTAATCCAATGACTTTTTTTTTTTCAACAATATTTATTATTATTGTTCAACATATTACTCATATAATATTGGATCTTTAAACAAAGAAGCTGCTTACTTTGCTTTCTCCCATAATGAATTTTCTGATTCTTTTTATGTTAATTATGTTTTTAGTCTCCATGTATCAGAAGTTCTAAATGATTATTATGATTTTGTATCCTTATTAACATTTAATTTAATTTATGTATTTAATTTTATCCTTTAAGCATGAGCTCTATTGAATTCAACATCTTCCAAATTTAATTATAATTTATCCTTAAGTATTAAAGATTTCTATTCAAGTAATTTCTCTTTATTTTAAATTACTTGTTCTTACTTCTTTATCAATTATTAATATGTATTGCTAAAACCTTCTAAATGTTTCTTATTATTTATATGAATAATAATACATTTTATTATTCGAAATTGCTTTCTTTACATTTTCTTAGCATTTTAACATACTTTTCTTTTCTTTCACTTATTTTCTTTTATTCTTCTAAAATCAATTAAGATTTATTTTCTTAAAACTTTTTCATTTTTTCACATTATTCTTTAATATATTACTACTATTCAAATTCAATTAATTAAGATCTTTTTTCTTTTTTAAAAACAATTTGACTATTCTTTTGGGCAAAATAATTTTTCATATCTTTTTTATAAAGTTCAACTTTTGTTTAAGCCTAGGATTCTTGATTAAATCATTCATACCTTTTTATTATAATTTATTCAATCTATCAGTAATCGTTTATTAAAATAAAGTCTCTTATTATTTTCTTTTTTCATGAGCTCTTTCAGTATAATTTTCATGTTTAAAATTTTTTTTTAAAAATCTTCCTTAGATTTATTCTTAAATTCTGGATTCATTTTCTGTGCATGTAATAAAATATTGATTTCTTTTTTAAAATTCATCTGTATTTTCATCAGATTTATTTTTATAGCTATCTCTATCTCTATCTCTTTTTTTAGAGAAACTAGTTTCACTTTTTCTTAATAAAATATTTTAATGTTGTAATAATTTTGAATTTTATTTTTAAAGGTACTCAACATTCTTTTTTTCTTCTTATAATTATTAATAAATAAGATTTTGCAATATTTTTTGTCTTGATAAACTTTTTTTCTCTTTTTTTTCTTAGATAATAACACTTTCTTCACTGAGATTGGAGAAACTATAATGAATTAGATAGAATACTTATTATCTTATTAATTGAAAGTAATTTGCTTAAGGGATTAATCACCAAGTTTATGCCTTTATTTAGTAGCTTATATTTCATTAATAATTCCTATAATAATAATATATGTTTATACTCATAACTCTATTTTTATAATGATTGTATTTCATCATTTATACTTCAGATGAAACTGAAGGGAATTACTCAATAGATCTAAGAGATAGAGTTTATAATAAACTTATAAATCAGATCATTAGGATCATATCCTAATCTTAGACATAATTTTTGAGTAGTGATTGATTAAGGACTAGTTTAATCAAGCATTTTCTTAAAAATCTGATCATCGGGATGATTAATCATTAAATTAATTATTTTGAAGGTATAAATAAGTAATTATTCAGAAACTAAATATTCAATTCTAGAAATTAAACTAAACCTTTATTACTCATCTTATGAAAGAAATAAATTAAAGAACATAATATAAATTAAGAGGAATATAGGAAATGTAATAAAGAGTTTAATAAAGCTTTTTAAAAAGATATTGGGAATATCTATATTCAATATTCAAAGAATGATGTAGAGAATTAATTATTACATATTGATGAATGAAATAAGAAATGGTGTCTAGAAAACTAATTAGAAAGATTATAATAATTTATAATACTTTATAAGACCTAGATCATTAAAAATAATTTATGAACCTTTGAGTGGAAATAGCTATATGGGGTTATTCATTTTATACAATACTATTACTAAGTATCTAATATCATTTATTATGAATAAAAAGCAAACTAACCAATTATTCTTAATAAAAATTTTAGTCTAAATGCTAGATGAAGTTAAGGGAAATTAAGCTTTTAATGCATATAATTATTTGTTTGTTCATTAGTAAAAACCTATCATATACTAAGAGTTTAATGAATAAGTTCTACTAAAAAGGTTATATCAATACAAATCAAATAATGATGAATCAGCGATCAAACTAGATTTTAAATTATAAATGAAGAAATCAATATTTAACAGATTCTCCTTGAATTAATATTAATTATATCATACATAAGTTTATTTAAATAAATTTTATCTCATAGTTTTATATTTGCTATTATTACTTAGGCTTTTTATTTTATTTTATTTCTTTCCTTCTTGCCATTTTCAGAACCTAAAAGAATTGAAGGAGTTCTTACAAATATACAAATTATATTGTAGAACTATTAAAATTGATGAATAAATCAAATAATTTATAATAAAAATGTCTGAAGCAAATTGTTATCAGAAATTTGGAATAAATCAATCAGTTTATAATAGTGAATCACCCAAACTATTGACTCCTATTCTAAAAATACATCATTCAAAATCTGATGGAGATATAGATATTAGATAGGATAGCTTTGGCAATTTGATTAGGCCTGGATAAAAAAAACATCGAATTTAATTTAAAGATAAAAATGAAGTGTTTATAGGTATAAGATGAATTGATTTGAATAGTTGAAAATTGGAAATAATACAACACTGATATGGCAATTCAAGAATCTCCTTGTCTTTGCACAATTTTGTGAATTTTTATCATTAATTTTCATTAACTTGTATAAATTACTGCCTTGATAATTCTTATATTTATTCAAATGATAGAATATAATTATTTGATATTGAACTGTTTTAGATATCATACTAAAATTATTATTTAGTTTTGAATTCCTTTATTAAAACATTTATATAATATGAACTTATTTAAATAATTCATTTTGCACGAGTCGGTTACTTGACTGCACCTCTTAAAGTATTTTTATGTTTAAGATAAGAATCAAAAAATGTATTTAAATCATTTTTCATCAAATGATTTTTAATATTAGGTTCATTAATCATTTCTTTCATTGTCTCATCAACAACTATAAATTATCATATCTATTCAATACCATAATAAGTTCTGTGTGCTGATTTCTATTATTTATATCCAGTATGTGTTTTATCTTCATAATCTTTAATATGATCCACCTTAAATAGAATTGCTTGAGTAGCTTAATCTTTTTCTTTCTATTGTTTTAAAGGTTTTACTAATTCTTCTAATCGACCTTCCTTCTTTAATTATTTATAATGATTAAAATCTTCCTCTCTTTTACGATTTATATCCTACATTTATGTAGTCATAGTTCCATAATTATCAAGTCCTAATGAAATCAATGCAGATGTTGTCAAAACTGATACAGGTGGTTTAGGTAATGATTTTGTTACACTATTTAAATTTGCTGGAGGTTATTATGTTGCAAACTCTTCAATATGTTAATCTAAAACTGGTTTAATTAATTTTGTATGTTCAAATTCAGGGACTTCTTTTTCATACAGTTCATCTTAGATCTTATTATAAAGAGCAGCTCTCTCTTAAAGAATCTCTATTTTATTTCTTTTATCTAAGAAATTCATTATATTATTTATTATTATTCAATAATTTATTCTAAAATTAAAAATCAATCTCTATATTTCATCAATTTATTTCAAACTTTATTTAAGTAATTAAGAAGGAAAAAAATTAATATTATTAAACATATAAAAAAAGATAATATTTAATGATATACTAATTATTTATTTTTCATTTTATTAGTGTAATACTCTGAAAATCTATAAAAAGGTAATTATAATTTCAAAAATATTATTGATTATTAATATTATTTAAGAAAGTAATTTGGAATATTTTAATTAGCTATAAATCAAAAAAAGTTTACTAACCAAATAAATAATATTGATGAGATCAATAAAAAAATAAATAATGTTATAAAGAAGAATTTAAAAAAAAGAATAATATAAAATTTGAGTAGAAAAAAAAAATACTTCATTATTAAAATGCTCTAACTCCTAAAGACTAGAGTTTACTACTGAAGGGTCTAGTTTTTTAATTGCTTTTATTTTATCTACTTACACCAGTTTAAGGTCTGAATCCTTGAGAGGATGTTTTTGTGATAACAGGAGTTTTGTTTGAATTTTCTTGATTAATAAGTTTCATTAAATCAAGTAGATTATCATATAATTAGAAACCGGGTTATTATTTATTTTTTTGTACTTAAGTAGTAGTTCCTTTGATTAAAGCAACATGTTGAAAAAAACCTTCAGTTAATTATTAGACATCTCTGTCATTAATTTAATGTCTTTATGAAACATATGTTGGAGAGAGCAATCTATTTTTAATGATTTATTTTTCAATGATATTATGATTTTTGATTTCTTATTCTTCAATATTATAATTATCACAATCACCTCCTAGAGATACTTTTTTTAATGCAGAATGATTTCTAACAACATTTTGATTAGCTATTAATAAATAAAATGATTGAAACTTTTATCATATTTTTTAGTGTTTCTCCAATATTTAGTTTCTGAATGATATGGTAATTAGATCATTTCTTCATTTTCATCAATTTTCATCATTTATTTGGTTTATGAATTAAGTCCAGGAGCAGTAATAGGTCTTTATCTTTAAACAGAACTTTGTGTAGGTGATATAAAAGCAGTCATAGGTCTTAAAGATTTTTCAGGAGTTATTTATAGATTCTCTAATTCTTGTTCTTTTTTTGCTTTGAAAGATTATTTCGAAAATCCTAAGAAGTTATATTGATATAATTAAAAATACCATAATTTTCCAAATCTTCCTAATAATCTTAACGAAGATCTTCAATATTATGATGTTATTTTTTATGTCTAACAACAGGATCAAAATGATCTTCAATTTGTTTTTCTCTTTGCATCAATGCCTAATATTTTTTATTAAGTAAAGTTAGACTCATTAAAAATAAATAAATAATAATAAAATATATTCAAACTTAAAAATTTTTGTTTGTCATCCATTTATCTTTTTAGATAACTCTGAAATGAGGTTGAGACTAACCCCTAGGAATTCTAGGTGTTGTATTATATTTAAGTTCAGTCAAAATATGTGTATTAGAAGGATTATCTTCACTTGTAGTATTTTATTTTTTATTCATTTAACATTTTTATAAACGAGTTTAAGATAGATAACCTGGAACCCATAAAGGTCTATTTTAAGCAAATAATGCAGGATCAATAGAAGGATGGAGAGTTTGAATAATTTCTATATTAGATCTTTAAAAGGCTTAATTTCTTACTTCATCAAAATGATTTGGTGAAGAACAATAAATACTTTATTTTGGTTAGGGTTCTTATTATTATGATTATTATTATAATTAAATAGTTGATGTGGAAGGATTCTTTTTTAATAAGAATTATTTATTACATATAATAGCAATTGATCTAAATCTTTTGGATTAAGTTTTGATTAAGTTTATTTGAATTTCTTTTTACCAATAGAATTATTTACAACAACATCTAATTAATTAGACTTTTTAGCTGCAAAACCAGCATGATGAAATTCTGTAATCACATTAAATTTGATTGTTTTTTGATTATTATACTTACTTCTACTTAATTATTCAAGATAAATATCCATAGCATTATCATTTTATTTAATTGATGCAATTTCAATAGGTATAGTCTAAGCTCTTCCAGAACATAATTTGGCTAGATATTAAATAGATATACTTAATTAATATCCCATAAAATTTTTTAACATTAAGACAGTTTCTTTATATTTGGATCTGATAGAGAATTGAGTGGCCACAATGTTATCAGAGACAGAAATGACAAGTGGACCTTGAATAGAATAGATATAGAAATGTAACCTTTTTCACAATCAGCCATAGTTTAAAATGTTTTTTTAGGGTTTACAAAATTAAATGGATGAACATCCCAAGAATTTTTAAATGGAACAACAAATTCAAATGGTAAATCATAGAATAAATAATTATGCATAGAGTTCTTTCTCAAAGAACAAACAACCTCGTTTTCTTTAGATACATATAATAAATCTATTTCTTTCATTCTTTATACTTTATATTGAGGTGCCTTAACAATATACTTACCTATAGTTTTGAATTCTTCAGCTGCTCTTCTACTATGAAGTCCAGCATTACCTTTTCCTACCCATTCTCCAGTATCATAATTAAAACTATATAGATCACCTGTTACATTATCTAAAAAGTAATCACTCATACGAATTTCGTTCATTGATTTTTTTATTTTAGATAAATCACCTAGTTAACTTCCATTTAATCCATTTACAATTGATAATTACTAAAATAAATTACATAATATACACATTCGATATTAGATGCTATCAAAAATACTAATCCTTGCATAGCAAAAGAGGATGCAAATAGTATCTTATTACTTCTCATACACATTCTTAAAAATATAAGAAATTTATATGCATTAGGTGACCATGGTCTAAGATTAGCGTCTCCTTCAAAGAATATCAAATCAATTGAATCAAACATCTTACCACATTCTACTCTTACAAAAGAACTATCAATCTCATATAGGAAATCATCTATTGTATCTCTATCTGCTATAAAGAACTCTAACTCTGTATCTATCATTTCCTTTTTTCCTGCTAACAACTTAATTTACTATTCATCAATACATCTTTTATCATTTATTTATAATGTTCTGAACTTCTGAATCCTTTTATACATTTCCCATACCCATTTACAATTAAAATTTTCATTTAATATAAGTTTATTTTCATACATCAATTAATTATTCATTCTAAAATTTACTTTATTTGATCGCATTAATTGGTTCTATTTCTCCTTCCATTCTATCATTTTTCCATTAGCCAACATACTTCTAACCATTCTTCCAATTATACGTACCCTTACCTTATCTTTTACCATCCTAAAAGAATCCTTCATAATAATCTCCATTTGCATATTCATATCTTCCTTAACCATTCTTTGTTCCATTTGCCCATTCTCCCATAAATACATCGCCATTTGTTAATATTAATACTCCTTAACCATTTCTTACATCATTTCTATATTCTCCCTCATATTTATCTCCACTTAAATAATAATAAATTCCTTTCCCACAACGTTCTCCATCTACAAAATTACCTTCATATCTATCACCATTAACATAATAAAATATTCCATGTCCATTCTAATTCTCATTTCTCCATTCTCCTTAATATTTTGCTCCATCATTATAAATATATGTTCCTTAACCATGTTTCTAACCTCCCATCCATTCTCCCTCATATCTATCCTCATTTTAATATTGCATCACTCCAAAACCATTTGCTTTATCCTCCAAAAACTCACCTTCAAATCTTGAACCATTTTAATATTCAAATACACCTTTACCACACTTCTCTCCATCTCTCCATTCCCCATAATATTTATCACCACTTGTATAAATATACATACCACTTCCATGTTTCTCACCATCTAACCATTATCCATCATATTTCTCATTTGTAGCAAAATATGTATAAGAACCTTTTCCATTCTTTTTATCATTCATCCATTCTCCTTCATATTTATTCCCATTCACATATAAATATACACCTCTACCATGTTTTGCACTCTCTCTCAATTCTCCATCATATCTTTCTCCATTTGCAAATATATACACTCCTCTACCATGAAATCTATTTTATTTAAATCACAATACCTATCATCTTTCCATTCTCCAACATACTTATCTCCATTACTATAATGATAAATCCCTTTCCCATTTCTTTTCTCATTTATTACCTCTCCTTCATATTTACTTCCATCAACATAGTTCTTTATCCTGATTCCTTTCTTATATTTACCTACTTCATCCTAATCCTTTATCCATTAATTCTCAAATCTATAAACTATTTCATCCTTCTCTTTTAGTAATTTTAGTTTCTCCTACTCCAACGTTTTACTTGGAGCTATTTTGAATTTTAGATCAGCCATTTCAAAATTTAATTAATAATACTACTAAAATTTTCTGTTAACATTATTATATTATAAAATTTAATATTACTATTTATATACTCTCATTTATTTTCTCCCTATCAAACAAGAATAACTATCTGATTTTCTTACTATTTCTCTTACGACTACATTTAGTATGTATTTCAATATAATAATAATCATTTTTATTTTAATATTTATTTATTTACTCTCTTTCTTCAATTTCTAATTTAAAAAACATTTATAATCCATTTATTATTTATTTATTTTATCAAATTTACTTTTTTTACATTTTATTATCATATTCAACTTGATAATCCAGATTTCCTTCCCATATANTTACATCATTTCTATATTCTCCCTCATATTTATCTCCACTTAAATAATAATAAATTCCTTTCCCACAACGTTCTCCATCTACAAAATTACCTTCATATCTATCACCATTAACATAATAAAATATTCCATGTCCATTCTAATTCTCATTTCTCCATTCTCCTTAATATTTTGCTCCATCATTATAAATATATGTTCCTTAACCATGTTTCTAACCTCCCATCCATTCTCCCTCATATCTATCCTCATTTTAATATTGCATCACTCCAAAACCATTTGCTTTATCCTCCAAAAACTCACCTTCAAATCTTGAACCATTTTAATATTCAAATACACCTTTACCACACTTCTCTCCATCTCTCCATTCCCCATAATATTTATCACCACTTGTATAAATATACATACCACTTCCATGTTTCTCACCATCTAACCATTATCCATCATATTTCTCATTTGTAGCAAAATATGTATAAGAACCTTTTCCATTCTTTTTATCATTCATCCATTCTCCTTCATATTTATTCCCATTCACATATAAATATACACCTCTACCATGTTTTGCACTCTCTCTCAATTCTCCATCATATCTTTCTCCATTTGCAAATATATACACTCCTCTACCATGAAATCTATTTTATTTAAATCACAATACCTATCATCTTTCCATTCTCCAACATACTTATCTCCATTACTATAATGATAAATCCCTTTCCCATTTCTTTTCTCATTTATTACCTCTCCTTCATATTTACTTCCATCAACATAGTTCTTTATCCTGATTCCTTTCTTATATTTACCTACTTCATCCTAATCCTTTATCCATTAATTCTCAAATCTATAAACTATTTCATCCTTCTCTTTTAGTAATTTTAGTTTCTCCTACTCCAACGTTTTACTTGGAGCTATTTTGAATTTTAGATCAGCCATTTCAAAATTTAATTAATAATACTACTAAAATTTTCTGTTAACATTATTATATTATAAAATTTAATATTACTATTTATATACTCTCATTTATTTTCTCCCTATCAAACAAGAATAACTATCTGATTTTCTTACTATTTCTCTTACGACTACATTTAGTATGTATTTCAATATAATAATAATCATTTTTATTTTAATATTTATTTATTTACTCTCTTTCTTCAATTTCTAATTTAAAAAACATTTATAATCCATTTAATTTCTAAAAAGTTTCTAGTCACTTTTGCAGCTCTGTAATAATATCATAAATAAAATTAAGCTTAATATATTGAATATAATTTATTCTTTTAATTTATTTTAGTCCTCATCCTTTGACTCTTCTCCAGCCTAAATCATACAAACAAATTTCCTAATTTTCTGTTTCTAAAATATTAGTGAAAATAAATAAATAGATTTCTTAAAAGGATTTCCAATTATTTACCATTTTCATTTTCTTTACATAAATCTCTGATCTTATTAAAAATAACTTTTTAATATCTACTTAGATTAGTAAGTTTCTTATCAATAACAAGAGGCAATTTAAAATGATTTATATATTTCATCTCTTACTCAAACATTAGATTGATTTATAAAAAAACTATTTGATTCATAAGTATATAATGAATAAATCAAATTCACCATTTTATATTATGTTTCTATGCAATTTATCTTAATTATATCTCTGTCTTATCATGTTTCCTTACTAATCCAATCCGTTATTAATATTATAATACTCTTTAGGTCTGAGTATCTGAGGGATCACTCAAAATCTATTAATTTTACACTTATTTTTATTAATATTACTCATCATTGACTTTTGTTTCAAACAATTTCTTCCTTGAACCTTGTTTAGTGCTCTTATTTAAAATAAAATTATTTGGAATTCTTAATGGGTTTATATTGTTTTATGACTTAACTTTGTTTCTATCTAAAAGTTATCTAATATGACCCATAAATTCATCATATTTTTATTCATTTTTCATTGATGGTAATGCAAATTCTTATTCCATAATTTTAAACATTGGATGTCTCTCAGTTTTTATTGAATTAATATGTTAATCTTTATTTTGTTTATCCTTGATCTGTTACAATAAATAATTAGTCATTAAAATATATAAATAATATATCAATCATTTTAACATTTTTCTAAGTACAATATCATCTGTAGTAGTCTATAATGAACTTTAAGAGTTCACATAAAGAATACTAGCATTTCTTTATGGTCTTATTTTGAAAACAAAATCTTCTATTTTTTTTCTCTGCATAGTACGTTCTTCATTGTTTAAAAGATTACTCATTGAAGCACTCTTTACTGATCTAGTTTAACCTTTCATTCCGTTGTAATGAATATCATTAGTATTTTATAATACAGGATTAAATTGTTTTGGCTAAAGTGTTCTTCCAATTTTAATTGGAGTGATTTCATCCATTGGAGCTTAAAATATTGTAGATCTTAAAGATATCTTTTGCGGATATAATTAAAATTTTTTTTATCTTATAGGTGCTTTCCAAATTGTTTAAGATTGCTATTATTTAATCTACTATTCAACTTTATTCTATGGTTCCATAATTGGTTTCTTATTAGGTGAATTTGGCTTGCTGCTCTCATCTAATTTTGGCATAGAAGTTGTCCTAAATCTCATTCTAGTTTTAGGGGATTCTTAAGGTGCCTAAATGATAGGCTTATCAATTTATTAAGATCCCTACCTCTTTAGAAATAGAGGATTTTACATCAAATGTTCTAAGTAGTGTTCTTCACTTACTTCCCATCCCTGATCCATTTATCTTACAAAATTATCAATTTTTATATTATTTTATATTATCTTATTAGAAAATTACAAACTACATCAGATTAATGTATTATATAAGTTATGAATTAAGTTTTATTCTTATTTACTTAAATCTATCTTAGCCCTTTTTTAAAGTTTAACCTTACCTATTTTATTTGATATTTCAATTATTTTTATTAAACTTAATGTTTTTTATTATTCAATTTTTTAACATAATTTACTAAAAGTAATTATTAATAATTTCTTACTAAATAGATTATGATATTATTAAATCTATATTCTGTATAAATATATAAAAAATGTATCTTGCAAGATATATTTATTAGAACTAATATTAAATAGATTTAATTTCATAAATTATAATAAATTGCTGTAATAAATAAGATGAGATCAACTTAATAATGAAAGACATTTTTAATAGTAGACCTCTTTTTATGCTTCAGATAGAATTAATTCTTAACAAATAATTTCAGCTTTTAAATTGATTTTGCTCAGTTCTTCTTTATTATTTCTATTTTATAAGAAATATTATTACATATTATTTGTTTTAATAATATCTTGAAGAGAATTTAATATAATTTTTTAATCCATTTAAAAAGCCTAAATTTTTTCTTTCGATTATATTTCAAAAGATTAAATAATCTTTTTTATTGACAAAAAAGTTTCTTTGATAAATTTTTTCATTTCTTACTATTACTATTTGAATGAAATAATTTAAGTTTACAAATTCTTAATTCTTGTAGCATCATTATTATTATTGGATGCCCTTAATAAAGATGGTTATAAGGAACTTAATTATGTAGTCTCTTAAAATAAAGGGCCTATTTTTGGAACTTTCACTGTATTAATGTATTAATTTTTAGGATCATTTTAATATATTTTAGCTAATAAATTTGAGCAATATAATTTTGAAGATTAGAGCTCCTATTATAATCTATTAATTTTAAACTCTTATAATCTAATAACAGAGTCCTATTAATCTATTTTATTTCTTAAATCATGAACTAATTATTCTATTATCTGAATAAGATAATACTTGTAATAACTTTCTCTGATGTAGATGTTTAAGATTATTTCTACAATATCAGAGATAAAGCATCATTTTCTTATTACAAAAGTCGTGGATGATTTGTTTACAATCTGTTATGTGTGTTGTTTTAAACTTACTTAATATGAAACTTTTTATTTTGCTTAAATGCCGTGATTCTTTCTGTTTTAACAATCTTACCACCAATCTCTGGATCTGAATTTCCAACAGTCTTATTTAACATATTTGCATCTGGTAATTAAATAGGTTAAACATGTAATTTAAGATGTTATTTTTTTGCAGGTGGTGGAGATTGCGAATTTTATGTAATTTACATATTAATATTTAATTCTCACTAATCAAACTAATCCCCCTTAATTCAATTTGTTTCTAATGACTGTGCTGAATTCTGCAGAGTTCACAAAATCTTTAGCATTTCTAGTAGTTTAGAGTTGAATTTAATATTAAGCCTTCAATTCATTATAAATTTAAGTCTCTTAAGCTTAAGCATCTTTATCTTATTCTAATTATAATATAATCAATTTAATTACATAAAGATTCATTGTAATTTTATAAATCAAGTTCATTTTAAGCTAATGCTTCTTGAGTAGATTTTAATTTATCTAAAAATATAATATAAAAATCGCTTACTTTAATAGGCAGCTAAAACATAAGTAGCTTCAAGAAGAGATCTCTTAAATTCTTAGTATTCTGTATTTAAAGTTTTCTATCTTTAAACCCAAGTCTCTTCAATTTATTTTTCATCCTCATTTTCCTAATATATCATATATATCAATATTACTTAGTTTAAACTAGCAACTAATTAATTTCTTGTGTCTTATAACAAATCTCGAATCTTTTTAGCTTATCCTTAATCTGAAAAGTTTTATGTTAATTAAAGTAAAGCCTCAACAACTGGGTGAATTGTGCTTGTTTTTGCAATCTTATTATTGACTCGTTTTATAGCTTAATGGATTGTTGCTTTTTCAGAGAATGCAATATTTCCATTAATTAATGAATTAATCAATTATAAAGCTTCATCTACTGCACTAATAGCACCTTAATGTTCACTCACTAAAATTTTATATTTATTTTACCTCTATCTAAATAAGCTTAATGTTAATTCTATCTACTCAATGTTTCTCTAGATAATGAGTCTCTGTTATCATTCATAAAACCATTCAATCTATCGATCTTTTAATTTGTTTAATCGATGCTTGGTAACAATATTGCATCAATAAAGTCTTTTTAATTAAAAATGTTTATTTCAGTTTAACCTATATTAATATCTAAGTTTTCTTGAGTAATTTGATGTTAATTTGTTGATCTTGTAAAATCATCTTCTAATTATTGCAATTCAACAGTCAATTCATTTTCTAAATCTCCAATAGCTGTCACTAAATCATCTTTTTATTTATGTACTCATTCTTACCTAATGGACCTCTCATTTCTGCATGAGTCTAAGCCATCTCAATTATGAATCTTCCCAAATTACTTTAAGAAAGTTCATCAATCTTTTCTGTGCTCAATTATACCATACTTGGATCTACACAACCAACTATATAAATAGTCATTATCAAAGCTAACACTTTTTACATTTGATTATTTAATATATTAATATAATCCGTTTTAAACTAGATGTCATCTTTTTTCTATTTTTAATTATTTTAGACTTAAATTAAATCATTCTTTTTCTTTTATTTATACTATCTTACTAATAGGCTCATTTAATAATACATATTCAATCATTTAGAAAGAATTTGAGGTAATAATATCAAATATTTAATTGAGAAAATTTAGTATAATTAATTTACTATGGAATTTATTGCATCTTTTGATAAATTTGGAGCAGTCTATAAACCAAAATTAAAATAAGAATCAAATAATTATAAAACTGTATTAGGTGGGATTATTTCAATTTTAATATACCTTGTCAGTTTCATTTATTTTTGTTACAAAATATATGAGTTTGGAAAAAATTAAATAAATCCTATTCAGTCAATTGCTTATGAATATACAGAAAATCTAACAATAAGTGATAATCAAGATTTATTGAGTTTTTAAATTATAGGAACTAAAATTAATCCTTTTAATAAGACTGCTCAAATACTTGTTCCAATAATGATTTTATAAAACTCCGATAATTGGGCAGATTCATGTAATTTTTTAAATTAATTAATAGTATTTTTATCTAGTGAAATCATTTACAACAATGGTGAAATTGATTTCAATACTTAAAAATACATACCTAAAAATTTAAGTCTTTAAAATGGATTGGGTGATTATCCTCATCGAATAATGATAGGATTGTAGGTTTGTAATTAATTTTAACATAAAAATTGTGCCGAAGAGGATATAATTGATTCATTTTTCAAGTAAATGAAAATTAATAAAGTAGCTAAAGCAATCTCTTAATTAAAACTACTGTATTAACTGAATAATATAATTCATTTAAAAGAATTATTAGCAATATGTCAACAGAACTAAACTTCGCTATTGATAGGAGCACTACTTTTTATTAAAGAATAATAATGCAAGCTTAAAACTTAATAATAGATGAAGGTCCTCTTCTTCCAGCTTATAACTCTAAATGGATTTTTAGCGATATATAAGTACAAACTCAGAGTTTAGGATAAAGTTTCAAGAATGATTTTCCTGCAGTATTTCTTACTGAATTATCTATGTCATTTGTAACATAAAGAAAAGTGGTTCAGTATGTTAAAGTATCCTAAGTATTAGCTGATGTCGGTTCGATATTTTCAAGTTTAATGCTTTTTAGTATTATAATTTCATCTTTAAATGAATTCTTAATGGAAGAAGAATTACTCTAATAAGTTATTGGTATTTATTATCCATAATTTTGTTAATTATAATTTAGAAGAACATTTAATTTTGGTCCAATAAAAGAAGTAAGATTTAAAGATAAAACACTTAATTTAGAGTAATTTTTAAAATTCTATAAATATGCTAAGAAAATAGCCTAGAATAAATTAACGATACATAGTAGCATTTATTAAACTTCTCGATTGTAGTTTGCTATATAAGGCTTGATTGAAAGAGAAACTCTTAAGAAATTAAATCTTTAGGGAATAAAATTAAATTTGAATTATGAAAATACAATTAAATCTCCTCGAGAAAATTAAGTATAATAGTCTAAATCATCAGTTATTGAATATCAGGAAATAGAAGATCATGTAAATCTTAAGTTTACAGATGAAGATTTTGATTTATTTGATTAAGAAGATCATAAATAGAATGATATTTAATAATTGATTAATGATAACTAGGTTTAGTAGTTAAATTTAAATGATATTTAATAAATAGATATATGATTTTAGAAATATAAAAAAGTTGTTTTTAGATATGATAATTTAAATTTATTAATTTTTCATTTAGAGTATTTTTTGAAACCATCAAAATATTAAGGTTATCCTATATTGTATTCATTTGGTTCATCTACTCCTACATAAACTTTATTCATAGCCTCACCAATTGGAGAAGGAGGAATATTGAAATATACTTAAGGTGGAACAATAAATTAAACACTTGATTGTAACACTTTACTATTATTTAAAGAATCAATCTATATTATTGATATGAATAATACTCTGTTTTTATTATTAAAGAATTTATTATATTATTCACTTAGAAAATTATTTGGTTTACTGTTATTAATACCGTTAAGTAAACTATCCATTTTGATAAGTTTCATTGGATTAGAATTAGTAAACATAGATAATTATTGTTTATAATCTTGATGATCTTATTAAGAATTAGATTATTCATCAAATTGATTTCCACATTAATAGAGATCATCAAAATTTCTAGCTTATTAATGATCAATTATATCATTGACAACTATTTCATCATTATTATTAGTTCTATTTTTAATTCTCATTTGAGATCTTAGAAAATCCTATTCCTATTGTTTGTTTTCTATCTTTAACATTTTTCTTGAATCTTATTAATATTAAGGTTCTTATTATATTTAATCAACACTATCTATAATTTTATTTCTTTATCTAATTTACTTTTAAACATTCTTAGTTTATTACTAATAGTTTTTTTATTATATCTATTATTATTATTATTGATTTTATGCTCTTGTTCTTTTTGGTTCAATACTTTATTCACTCTCTTCTTCTGATTAAGATTCACTCTCTTTTCTCTTTTAAAATCCTGGATACTATAAAATATAGACATAGTTTACATACATCCAATTTTGTAAAAACTTTTTTATGATTTGATTACATCATCTCCATTACAGTATTTTCATTTGAAGTAAATTAATATACAATTCCACTTAAATCACTAAAACACAACAGCATTTTTATGTTACACAATACAGCCAATTCACATGCTTTTTTCAACAAACCATTTTTTCTTTTATTGAATGTGATCTAAAATAATATTAATTAGTTATTTAAATTATATAGTAGTTTCTAAAAATAGTAGAATAAGTAATTAATTTAATAAATTTACATTCCTTAAACGATCATCTTTTAGATATTGAATGTCAATTTTATTCCTTCCCATTATATATTAAATAATAAATTATTATATTAATCTTTTTAAAAATGTCTAATTTTTGGAAAGAAATACAAAACTATTCAGGCTGCACAGATTTTGAATAATTGCAATATTATCTTAATATAATCTACAAAGTATATAGTTTTTCAAAACTTTAGTTCTAAATTCATTTAGAAGATTTTTAAACTATTCATCCTGTTTATTTATCAAAATTATTACATTTACACTAATTAGCAATCTAATATTATGAACACTCTACAGAAGAATTAAATGAGTATGAAAAATATATAGAAAAATCGACATTAGAAATTTCAGAAAAAGTTACTATTTGATTTATTAATATAGATTAAAAGAACAGAGAAGAAACTTTTAGATAGTAAAGTAATTATAAAGACAGCTTAAAAAAAATTATAATAAGAATTGAATTAGAAAGATAAATTCATACAGAAAGTTATAAATACTTAATTATTTTAATGTCTTTATTGTGATAAAGTAGTTACAACTGAGTCTTAATTTGATTTGCATATGTAATAATATCATAAAAGAGAATTTAATAAACAAGAAGTTGATACTATAAATTAAGCTTTATAAAATCAATTATTAACACAATAATTAAGTAATAAAATTATACAATAAAATTAACAAAATTACTTGGCTTTAAATTATCAGTTACTTTAATCGACAAAGGAATAATTATCAAAAGAAACTACAGATTTTATTTAAAATACTTTATAAGTGACTGAAAAAATTAAAAATATTGATTAAACTTATACAAAATAAATAAAAAATTTGGAAGAAGAAGTAGAAAATAGATTAAATTTGATATAACTTAATACAGAAAAAGATGAATAAATAAGAGAATAATAAGTGAAAGAGAAAATTAAATAATTAGAAGAATAAATAAAATAAGAGTTTGAAAATTAGAAATCTATAATGATGAAATAAAGAAAATAAATTAATATAAAAACAAATACTCATATATAAAAGTCTTAAGATGGTGCATTGACTAATTCTTAAATACCAAATTCAGGTGTTTTTTAATCATCATCTGGACTCCATAGAGGATTAACAACTATGAATATTTAAAGTCTTGCTAATATTGAATAAGATGAATTAATTGAAGATGATTAAATGCATTAAACAAGTTTATAGTAATTTAAAATTTAAATTAAAAAAAATACTAATTTAGAGTCTCCTCTTTAGGGTTAATTTGAATAATCTCCATAATTGTCAGAATCTATATAATAAAGCTAACGTTTATTAATCAATCCTCCTTAAGATATATAATAATCAAAATATTCAAAACAAATTTTAAAAAAAAATTCAGGATCTGAGGAAGATTAATCATTTAATCAAAAATTTAATCAATATGATCAAGATTAAAATATCGATTTTATTGTTTAGAACCTTGAAATTTATAGAAATGCAGTAGATTAATAATAAAATATGCTTTTTGAATTGTAATTTAATTATATTTTAATCAATTTAGGTTATTAAATCGAAGCAAAGGTTCAAGACCTACTTATACAGATCTATAAAAATAACATTATCGCAAAATTTTAGAAACAAATATAGAATAGGACATCAAAGGCATTTAATAGAATGATCTAAAAAATCTAAAAAAAATACATGATGAATTAAATAAATAAATTCAAGATAAATAGGCAAATGTTGAAGATAAACTTTAATTATATTCATTTAATGAGGAATCTCACACTCCTGAAGAAATTGATTCAAGAAGAGCTACATAATTTTTAAATATTAGATCAAGAAGAAACAGTGGCAAGCATTAAAGAAATCCATCTTAGAATTGATTTTTTGAGTTTTCTTTCTAATAATTAGAGATGATCTAAATTTTAGAAAGGTAGATTGTAGTTATAATTTATTAAATTTTAACAATAAAAAATTTAATAAATAATAATACAAATTTATCTTTTAATTTTTATTTAATATACTTTATAGGATAACCAAATAGTAGATACATATTACAATTTACAATGGTAATCTATTATAAATAAACTCAAGTAAGAATTTTTATATATTGAAATAAACTCCTTGACATTTTTTTCAATTTTTAATTTATATATACTAAATATGATGATAAATATTATCAGAGATTTTAGGAATAGAAAAATTCTGATTGTTCTTCTTCTTAAGAACAGCCTTCAAAGAATTAGCTAGTAGAATCTATTTTCTATAAACTAATAATAGCTTAAACTTATCCAGTTAATTTTTCATATTTGACATCCATTTATTCTCTCTGTTATTATAAATCTAAGTAAATTTATTTGTGTTGTTATAGTATAATCTCATGTTAGTTAATAATATGCGTGAATTATTATTCGTCTTAATTTAAATTTTATTTTATTGAAGTTATCTCATCTATTAAGAATCTTTAAAAACATTAATGATTCAACTTTTGTTTTTATTACATTTTATTCTAGCTTCTTTTTAGTAAAACTAATAGATGTCTAATTTATAAATTAATATTACTCTTTTCCTTTTAAAAAATTTTGATGCCAAAATACTTACTAATTATTCTGATTTCGAATCTTCTAAAAATCATACATATTCAACTGTCTTAAGAAAGAAGTAAAGTGATTATGTTTAAAATGTTAAGGCAATATTTTTTGTTCCAACAATTCAGGATTTAGAACAATAAATGCATCTCCTTATGGTGCCCAGGCGATAATTGGCAAATTTTTCTTTCTATTAATATTAATCTTTACTAAATCTTCCAAAATTGCATACAATTTTATAATGAAAGACGGAATAGTATATTTTGATTTGTTTTTATCCATAGAAATTTTGAGGAAATTAGAAATTTATATTAATTATTAAATCTTTGGAGATAAAATATTTATATAAATTAATATTTCTTCCCCCTTAAATATAATAACCACACAATTCTTTATGAATTTCTTTTTCCTTTTAATAATTTTAAAACATTTAATTCAAATATCTAGTCCGAACTACTTATCGAATAATCTAATGGCCACCTATTATATTCTCCAATTAAACTATATATTATATATATGAACAAATCCTTAAATTCTATTTTTTTATTTTATTTTACATTACACTTGATATTTTATGTTTTCTTCATTACTGAATGTATTTAAAATTTTTAAATTTATCTCATATGCTAGATTACATTATATATAATTAGATCATTAAATTATTGTCTAATTTATATTATATGCATTATTAATAAAAACATCATGGATTAATTTATTCGTCATTCTAATAATTTAAAACAGAATGTCAATATAATAGAATCAGTTTCTTCCCTCTCAGAACTTGCAATTTTAGGAGATTAAAAAGAATCAGATATATTTGAGTAATCTTATAAAAACTATCTTATTAGTCAATTTATTGAAGAAAAGGTTGTAGAAGAGTTTGTGAGAATATTAAAATCAACTAAAGATACCAATATAGTAAATACTATATTACATTAAATTTCAATGCTTATGTAACAAATATTAAAACTAAATAGAACAAACATTGATAAAAACATAGTTGTGCTTCTTTCTTTGCCTTAATTAAATGAATTTATTATATACAACTATGATCTCAACAATGAAGAAACATAGGATTACTATATTAATTTTATTAAAATTCTATCAAATAAGGTAACCAAAGGCAACATTAATTTATTCTTTAATTAGGTATGCATTGATTATAGACTTGATAGAAATACGCATAATTTCCACTTCTATTATATTCTTAAAATTTTTATAATGCTAAAGATAATTTAACTAGAACATATACAAGACATATTTTATTATCAATTCTTTAAATTGTATAAAATAGTTCAAATGAATAAATACTTTTGTAATACCTATAATCGTATCCATTTTTATAGGTATTAACAAATCACATTTCATTTATGAATGAACTATTATTAAAATGGAGTAAAGATTAAGATTACTTTCATGAAGAGTTAAAAAATATGTATTACTTTTTTAAAGACTTATATAATATAGCACCATATTTAGCTGATGTAATTATTTACTTAATTTTAGACTTTAGATAATTTATTTTTCAAGATCATAATATAACCTATTTATTAAATACTTTAATAGAAAGATGAGAATGCTAAAAAATAAAGTTGTCTAATATTATTAAGCCTTTTTAATGCTGAAGTTCAATTTAGTTATCAATTACTTTTGAGCATTCTTATTCTTTTTTTTTCCCCAGAAATTCCAAAAATTCAAACACTATAATTAGAATTAAATTATTTACCAACTAAAGATCCAGAATTGGTGAATTAATGTATAAGGTTTTTTAAAAATTTTTAGAAAGAAGTTAAGGATGGAGAAAAAAGTAATGGTTTATTGTAATCTATTACACAAACCATATCTTAAGTTTCCTATAATGCAATATTTGTTAAAGAAATTCCAAAATAAGGAATATATGAGGCTTTAAATTCCTATGGATACATTCAAAAGTTAAATTCAAGTATTTTATTTAAGGAAAACTTTTTAATTTCTGATGAATACATTAATAATTAGTAAAACTATTAATTATATATTTATTTAGTCTTAACGAAGAACATTATAACTCAATATTAACGGTGTTAGAAACATTGACAATAAATAAAACTTTATAGTTTCTATCTGAGTTTTAAAAAGAAAGATTTATACTTGATTTATTTAATGTAATGTATGATGAACAACCAAACCTACTGAACAACTTAAAGAATTGTTAAAAAATTATTTAAATTGTAAATTACTTACTTGATAATTCAGATTAAAACTTTATAATTACTTATATTAGGATTAAATTATTAAAGTAAATGGAATAACATATTTAATCTTAAACTATTGAATATTATCGATATTTTTCATAAATTTTATAATCCGTTTCAGAAAAAAATTATGAGCCTTTCTATAGGATTCCTATTACTCATTAGATTATTAGATTCATGCTTTTATTAGATTTTAGTTTTTAAAAAAATTGGCTAAAAAATCCATTTTAAAAAACTTTTAATCCTCTAACGTACTAAGAATTATAATTTAACAATGGATTAGTAAAATTAGATAATTTATAAATCATAACTGAAAATATAAATTTTCATTTAGATTAATGGAAATTAATATTTTAATAAGAACAAAAGCAGACAATAATTTTTATGAATTTAATTAATGATGAGAAATTAGAATTAGCTTTTAATGATATAAAAGAAGCAGAAAATTTTAAGTTAGAAGTCTATTAAAGACAATAAGACTCAGAATAACATGTCGTTTCTTAATTAATAACATAATTGTAGTAATTGTACTTTTGATTATATTCTTTTTTATCATATCGATAATTTTTATTTTATTTTTATCTATTAACTAGTTAATTATGAACTTCTATTAAATGAATAAGCTAATCTGTAAATTTAATCATTTTTTAAGTTTTGAAAAATTATTATGAAAACCCATATTTTAATTTAGGATTAATTTTCTTAATTATAATAATTATAAAATTAATCAATTTAATGAGGAATTCATAACAGTTCTGCTTCTGAATTAAAGACGACTTTTCCATTATCTGATTATAATAAATATATATATATATCTGTGATGAATCGATGACGAGTATGAGAGATTCAATAGAAATCCATCTATTATTCTCACATAAATGATTATTTGAGGCATTTGCCTGAAAAAAATAAAATTATTATAATGAAGAAATTATTGCCGCCCCAGTCTGAAAGACTCTGCTGATACGGCTACGTCTGATCAAATAAAATTATATTAAATGATGCATAAAATTTGCTACTCTTATAGAATAGTATGATGAAATCAACCACCAAGATCTCTGATCTAAAATCTAATTATATATATATATAAAATTGATGATTTAGTAGTCCATGATAAATCATGATTCCAAACTTTCGCTCCTATCTGATAAATTAATAATATTATATATTGTGATGACTTATAAGAACTAGAGTCTATGACTTCTACATGAATTACAACCCTTGGCTGTCTGATATTAATTATACTATTATATATATATGTGATGAAAAACTGACACCTCTTGATTGAGCCTATGGGCATTGATCGGAATTCACAATCTGATTTTTTTTAGTTTTTAGTCTTATTATTCTTATGGTATAACTATATAAACAAAGTATAAATTTATATAAATATCTATAAACTACAACAAAAATTAAATACAGATTTGTAATAATAAATTTAAAAAAAAGTATATCAAAGAATCATTTTTATTATATATTATTTTTTTTATTTAATTTCTCTATTTTAAATCAAAGTTTCGAAAAATCAATACAAAAATGTATGAATTAATAATTAAATGAACATCAACTCATTTATAATAATTAAAAAATAAAAAGTTCTTTTTAATAAAATTAGTGTGAGATTATTATGATATATTTTATCAGGATTATCCAGAAAAACTATCAGAATTTAATATATTATACATTTATAAAAGTAGAAGCAAAAATTATTTTTTTATTAATATTATGAACTTAAAAGAACTTAAAGCCATTCATAAATTGCAAAAAGCAGGTTTCTTAGAAAAACATAATTAATTAATTGATTAAGGGTTAACAAATCCATGGATTAACTATCATCACTTAAAAAAATATAATGGTGATATTCATAAAGTTATTCTTTTTTATAATAATAAAGAGGATTAGAAGGAAGAAAAGAGAAAAAATGCTTTAAAAACTATTGAAAATTTGGGATGGCTTTAGAAACATCAGAAACTAATTGAAAATGGGTTTACTGAATCTTAAAAAAATTTAAAAATTTTATTAAAAACAAATGGAGATGTTGATAATTCAATTGAAAAACTTAGAAAAAAATAGAAATTAAAATTTGATAAACCAATTCAATTAATAATGTAAGAATTAGGATTCATTATTTAATTTGAAAAACTTAAAGAAATGGGATACACAAATGAAAAGAAAATAGCTAAATTGCTATTTAAATATGAAGGAAATTTGTAACCAATTCTTGATAAATATTTGAAGATAAATAAAAAAAATAAAACTTGTTCAATTAAAAAATCTTTACATAAGCATAAACCTAAGAAATCATCTTAAGAAGATTAAGATTTTAAAGAAAAGAAGGCTGAACTAAAGGAAAAGTTTGCTAATTTTAATGGAAAGAATATTCATGATAAGAAAGTATTGAAATTCTTATCTATGTTTAATGGTGATATAGAGTCAGCTATTTAGTGGCTAAACCAAATTAAACCATAAGTATAGACTTAAGGTTAAATGGTGCTAGAATCAGAAATTCTTGCATAATATTGAGTTTTATAAACTCAAAAGATAGGGAGGGAGGGTTGGATATATTATATATATATAAAGAATATTATATAAATTATTAAAATTTTATACATTTATATATNGATGAAAAACTGACACCTCTTGATTGAGCCTATGGGCATTGATCGGAATTCACAATCTGATTTTTTTTAGTTTTTAGTCTTATTATTCTTATGGTATAACTATATAAACAAAGTATAAATTTATATAAATATCTATAAACTACAACAAAAATTAAATACAGATTTGTAATAATAAATTTAAAAAAAAGTATATCAAAGAATCATTTTTATTATATATTATTTTTTTTATTTAATTTCTCTATTTTAAATCAAAGTTTCGAAAAATCAATACAAAAATGTATGAATTAATAATTAAATGAACATCAACTCATTTATAATAATTAAAAAATAAAAAGTTCTTTTTAATAAAATTAGTGTGAGATTATTATGATATATTTTATCAGGATTATCCAGAAAAACTATCAGAATTTAATATATTATACATTTATAAAAGTAGAAGCAAAAATTATTTTTTTATTAATATTATGAACTTAAAAGAACTTAAAGCCATTCATAAATTGCAAAAAGCAGGTTTCTTAGAAAAACATAATTAATTAATTGATTAAGGGTTAACAAATCCATGGATTAACTATCATCACTTAAAAAAATATAATGGTGATATTCATAAAGTTATTCTTTTTTATAATAATAAAGAGGATTAGAAGGAAGAAAAGAGAAAAAATGCTTTAAAAACTATTGAAAATTTGGGATGGCTTTAGAAACATCAGAAACTAATTGAAAATGGGTTTACTGAATCTTAAAAAAATTTAAAAATTTTATTAAAAACAAATGGAGATGTTGATAATTCAATTGAAAAACTTAGAAAAAAATAGAAATTAAAATTTGATAAACCAATTCAATTAATAATGTAAGAATTAGGATTCATTATTTAATTTGAAAAACTTAAAGAAATGGGATACACAAATGAAAAGAAAATAGCTAAATTGCTATTTAAATATGAAGGAAATTTGTAACCAATTCTTGATAAATATTTGAAGATAAATAAAAAAAATAAAACTTGTTCAATTAAAAAATCTTTACATAAGCATAAACCTAAGAAATCATCTTAAGAAGATTAAGATTTTAAAGAAAAGAAGGCTGAACTAAAGGAAAAGTTTGCTAATTTTAATGGAAAGAATATTCATGATAAGAAAGTATTGAAATTCTTATCTATGTTTAATGGTGATATAGAGTCAGCTATTTAGTGGCTAAACCAAATTAAACCATAAGTATAGACTTAAGGTTAAATGGTGCTAGAATCAGAAATTCTTGCATAATATTGAGTTTTATAAACTCAAAAGATAGGGAGGGAGGGTTGGATATATTATATATATATAAAGAATATTATATAAATTATTAAAATTTTATACATTTATATATAGTAAATTTTGTTAAATTTTTTAAATAGAATATTATTTACAAATTTTATTTGATTTAATACTAGGGCTTAAATTAGTTTAAATTTGTTGGAAATTTTTATTGTAAAAATTCTTGCTTTTAAATAAATTTATATGATGATCATCCTTTTGAATTATTATTTTACTCTAAATTTATTCCTTATTATTGAAGAATTACTATTATTTTGATATCAATTCTTAAATGTAGCTCTATTCTTCTTTACAAATCATACAAACTGTATGAATTTGCAATTTATCCGTTATAAATAAATTATTTTTAATAATTACATAATTTTTATACATTTTGATTTTTTATCTAGATAGGGTTTTTCTATCATTTTGGACATTTTTGGCATTAAAATTTTAAATTATTGCTATAAAATATAAGTTCATTTTTAATAAAAATATCATAATCCACTTTCTAAAAATTATAGAATTGAGGAAATGATTTTCTTATTTTCTATTTTAATTATCTTATTTTAAATCCATCTTTTTAACAATTAGGTATTCATCAATACTAAAGTTCTTTTTAAATTTCAAGTATTATTTTTTTCTTATTTTTAATAACTGGTTATCCATTTCTAATTTATTAATTTTTAACTAAACTTAAAGAATAGAATTCTTTAAAATCATTTGTCTTTATTTTGATTTAACTTAATAAATTTCTAAGATATACTAAAAAAACTTACTTTTTACCCCTTTAAAATAAGTTACATTTAAATTCATTTTCATTATCATCATGTCTGGTCTGATTTTGTTAAGATTATACATATTAAATATAGAAAAAAGATAAGATAAATGTGAGAATTCATTAAGTTTTATTTTAATTTTGAATGAATCTATAATTTCATAAGTTTTCATTAAAAATGCAGGTCTAGAATCTCCATCATCTTTAATTAATCTTAATTTTTTGTTCTTTACTATTTATTACTCTAAAAAATCGATTAACATATATAATAATTATTTAAATCATTAGAATATTTATAAAAATCATAATTTTTTTATCGTATGATAAATAAATACAATTTCTTCCTAATATTAACAACTCTTTTATTGTTAGCCTCCTCTCAATAAGATTATTAAGGTACAACTATTAACTATGAAACACCTATTGAAATACTAATAGAATACTGTACAAGTTGATCTTATAAGGGAGCATTTCAATAATTAGAAAATGCTCTCTTAAATTAATATTCAAATAAGGTTAATGTAATAGGTTAACCTTATCCAATAGGACCTTAAAAGTAAATGTTGGTCAATTTACTAACCTTTATACAATATGGGTCTTTAATAATCTTAGTGGTTTTCGATTCAATTTTATAAAATAAAATTTCATTATGGTAATAATACATTAGTCCACATAAAATGAGAGTAGGTTTTATAATATTTTTTGGATTTAATTTTATTGTTTAAAATTTGCAATCAACAGGAGCTTTTGAAATCACAATTAATGGATAACTTGTACATTCTAAATTAGTATCAGGTTAAATGCCAACTATTAAAAACATTTAGGACTTTATTGGTTCTTAAAAATGATAAACTATAATAATGCATAATTAGAAATGAGAAATTTTAGGAAAAATTTAATCTTAAAATTTTGAGAATATAATATTTATGCTATATTTAGTTTCTCATAAACATATTATTAACATATTTTTAAATATTTTACTTATATATCTATTTTATTTAAGATATTCTTTAAAATAGTTATACTAAAAAATAATTAATAAACAATATTATATTAAAATTATTATAAAAATAACATATGAATTAAGCCTTGAAATATGTTCCAAAAATAAAATTTATTGGCAGCAGAGCTAATTTAGTTCCTCNGATAAATAAATACAATTTCTTCCTAATATTAACAACTCTTTTATTGTTAGCCTCCTCTCAATAAGATTATTAAGGTACAACTATTAACTATGAAACACCTATTGAAATACTAATAGAATACTGTACAAGTTGATCTTATAAGGGAGCATTTCAATAATTAGAAAATGCTCTCTTAAATTAATATTCAAATAAGGTTAATGTAATAGGTTAACCTTATCCAATAGGACCTTAAAAGTAAATGTTGGTCAATTTACTAACCTTTATACAATATGGGTCTTTAATAATCTTAGTGGTTTTCGATTCAATTTTATAAAATAAAATTTCATTATGGTAATAATACATTAGTCCACATAAAATGAGAGTAGGTTTTATAATATTTTTTGGATTTAATTTTATTGTTTAAAATTTGCAATCAACAGGAGCTTTTGAAATCACAATTAATGGATAACTTGTACATTCTAAATTAGTATCAGGTTAAATGCCAACTATTAAAAACATTTAGGACTTTATTGGTTCTTAAAAATGATAAACTATAATAATGCATAATTAGAAATGAGAAATTTTAGGAAAAATTTAATCTTAAAATTTTGAGAATATAATATTTATGCTATATTTAGTTTCTCATAAACATATTATTAACATATTTTTAAATATTTTACTTATATATCTATTTTATTTAAGATATTCTTTAAAATAGTTATACTAAAAAATAATTAATAAACAATATTATATTAAAATTATTATAAAAATAACATATGAATTAAGCCTTGAAATATGTTCCAAAAATAAAATTTATTGGCAGCAGAGCTAATTTAGTTCCTCATTAACATAGTACATAAACAGCTAAGTATGTACATAAAGTTGTGGATTATTAAAGAAGAAAAATTACAGAAGAAGAGATTGAGATCATAAATTAAGGAGGATTTGCAGATATGACTTGGAAGAAAATCAAGCCTATTAATATATGATCTTAATATCAACATAAATATAAATATTTTTAATGCTAATTGAAATATTAAAAATTACAGAATTATTATCAAAACTCTTAGTAATTAAACATAATTTTTAGAATCATCATTTCATATCTTTTAATCTAATTTGATTAAATTGAGAGAGTTGAAAACTTATTTTTTGGATTTTATTATTTAAAATGGTTATCGTCATCCATCAAATTTTTAGGATAAATTTTGAATGACTAAATATATAAACTTGTTAGAGATTTATATAGAAAATTACAAAAAATAATAATATCCGATAAGGAATGTTTTTTTTAATTGTTATCATTAATAAAATACATAATTCGTATTAATAAGCTAAAATTTATAAAATTAGAACGGATTAAAATCAAATATTTTAATTTATTATAACATAAATTAGAATCTTTTTATTAAATTATTGTGATTAGGTATTAATTTTTCCTATTTAGTTTTAAAGATTTTCTTTTTTATATATGTGTGATATTCTGAGTATTCAGATATATTCTAGTAGTTGTAGTTCTTTAACTAATGGATTATGTTTATCATCAGATGAAGTTGTTTTAATCTTGGGGTGAATTAAGTCAAAACTTTAAATGAATAGAAAGCTTTATGGTCGTTTTAGGGATTTTCTCCTATTTAACAATAATTCTTCGATTTTTAATAAAGTCTATTTACTATTATTAACCTTAAAAATATATTATCTCTATATTTTAATTTTTATCTTTAATAAACATTAATAGAATAATCAATAATTTCCTTGAGATTCCTTAAAACCCAGATATTGATTGCAAATCAGTAATTTATTTATTACTATAATTTTCACTCTGTGCTAGGTATAAGACTTCTTAGTAATCTTATTTCTTTAACATATTTTATTTATTTAAAGAGAAAATTCCTTTAATAGGATACAGTCTCTATTAAATATGCTAATATATTTATTCCTTTATTGGTAAATCTATTTAACATTTATATATATATTGTTTGACTTTTTTATAAAATTATTTAAAATATTTGCCTTTATCAACTTTTTAACAAACAAAATAGTACTATAGATTAATAAATCTATAATATTGTTCTGGAATATTTCAAGTCAAATTCTTTTTTAATATAGAAATGCTTTCTATTAATAAAACCTAAAAAAAACTTAATTTTTTAAGTAACTTATTATAGAATGTATTGGATAATATGAATTAGAAAATTGCATAAATACCTTGATATTATTTTGATGGTTTGTTAGAATATATTTGTACTTAGTAAGTTCTCAATGTTAAGTAAAAGTGAAAGAATTATCAGAATAATATAAAAAAGTGTTGTTGTTATTGATAAATTAATTCATACACATTATTATGATCATTATAAATGAGATAGTATTTGTTTGATCGAATCTTAACTTATAGGTTTGATACATACACATTTCATTCCAGCATTTAATAAGTCATTAATATCATCATTAGCAGAAAATGCTGTACATCCAATTATATTAGTTTATATTTATTTTAATTTATTACATTCATCAATTATTGCTTTTGTACAATCCAACCCATTCATTTAAGGCATTTGATAATCCATAAAAATAGCATAAAACAGTTTACATTCATCAATTTCGCAAATATTATACTATTCTCTATATAATTGTAATGCTTCCAATCCATTTTATGCTTTTACTACCTTAAATTTAAGAGACTTTAATATTTATTCTAATACAAGATTGTTAAAAGGTTCATCATCAACAATCATAATATATTATAAACATTCGCATTTATTTTCAATTTTTTTTTATATTCTTATTTATTAAATACTATCCTCAGATCCAATTGAGTAGTCGAATTCTTTAATTTAATTATGAATAATAAACTTTAAGATAACTTCAGTTTCTTCTTTCTCTGTTGAACGAATATAAATATTGACTTTTGATTATTTATTTAATTTTTAAAGTAAAAGATTACATGACCTCAAACCTAGATAAAATCCATCTGATGATGAAGATGTAAATTAATAATAGTTTTCATTGTTTAAAATTTCTTCTATCAGCTTAAGTTTTTAAAAATTTATTCCAGAACCATTATCAACTATCTTAATATTTAATGTAGTCTCAAATGAAGCAATATTGTAATCCTGTACACTTTGAAATGAAGAATAATGTGACATTCTTTATAAGTATGATTTATAAGGATTATTTGCATTTAGAATAGAATTTACTATAGGATGAGTTTCTTTACAAACAGATATTGATAATATAGATTAATTCTATTTATCACAATGTTTAATAGAATTACTGATTATATTTGTAATTATTTATTCAAATATATCTGGATCAGTAAATAAAGTATGATTTGTTTCTGGATGATAATTTGCTACAATTTTAATTTATTTAGATTGTATTTCATATTTAAAATTATCAGTAATTTTATCTAGAATATCATTTACTTTAATCAATTAATATTTTATAATTACTTAATCATCTAAACATAAATTATAATTAATAATTGAGCTTATAATATTTGATTCTATTTTTGAATTATAATAAGCTTAAAAAATTAATTCTTTATTTTAATCATCATTATTTTTATCTAAATACAATTTTAATAAACCTTATATAATATTTTTTCGAGTTCGAAGTTCATGTGATAATGATTTTATTAATTTACTTTTCAGAATGGTTCTTTCAGTTAGTTTAGTTTTTTCAATTATAGCTGAAATATCTGATAAACAAACTAATAAACACTTTTTATCATTATAAATAATATTATTGTGAAATCTAACATCATAAACTTCTTTATCATTTAAAATATATTAATAATTTACATTTTATTTAATTTCATCTTCTTTAAGTTTGATAATTTATATCGTTTCAAACAAATTTAATTTTTCAGAATCAATTACATTAAATACTTGTTAATTTCCATAAGGTTGAAATTAAGTTAGCATTTTCTTTGAAGTGATCTCAAGTTCATCTTTTTAAGAATTAAGATATTATTTAAACATTTCATTATAGATAACAAATTCTAGAGTTGATAAATTAATTAAGAAAATTGGTTATGGTAATGAACTTATTATTTATTTAGGAATAATTTAATTGCAAATAAGTTTTCTAAATTTCTCTTCTTCCTAGATTGTATAAATAATGAAAATTAGTATAGCAATAGAAAAATCATAAAATGCAGTCTTCCATACAGAAAGATAATAACAAGTGATGAAATAATAAAATAGAAAGATTACTATCTTAAACATAAAAAGAGGTTATGTACTAATTAAAGCAATCATCCACATAATATTAGTCATAAAATGTATTAAAAATTGTTGGTTGAATTAGAGAAATTGATTATCATTAATAAATTTCTCTGAAATTCCAGTATAAATACCTTAAAAGAAATTTAAAAGAATAATTAATACAAATTTCTTTCTATTTGTAAGTCTATTTAAAAAGCATCTATCAATAATATTAATAAATATAGATATTCCAAGATCAATAAGCAAAGTTTTGTAATTATTATTATTTGATTCAATTAATAAGAAATTGACCAATAATTATATTAAAGCTAAGAGTATTTGAAGCCGACATAAATTGATAAAGTAAGGCCACTTAGTTTTAAGCAATTCTTATTTTTTATACTTCAAAACTGAAATTTTGACTTAATTTATCAATGTATATTCCCAAATATAAGTCTTAAAAGCATTAATAATATGCATAAGTATAATAAAAAATTAATATATATATATAGATGATAATTCAAACATCAATAATATGATATCTAAAATTAGAGCAATAAATTATATACAAAAGAATTAAATAAAGATGCAAAGCAGAGATAGTATATAAAAATATATAGTTTTTATTTTTTTATTAATGGATACATCTAATATGTAAAGATGAAGTTAAATATGATAGACCTGCAGCTGGATCTAGACCAACTAAGTAAACATTTGATTAAGCTCCAATTACAAGATAAGTGTAATTTATACATTAATATAAAGAATCCAAAATAAATCTGATATTTTTGGAGTGAATTCTCCTGCTCCTATATAATAACCATCAAGATAGAGTGTACGTCCAAAAACAGATATATTTAGTGCAGAAACTTAAGTAATAAAACAATAAGATGTAAAAGAATTATATATCTAAGGTTCGTTAAAACAAAACCTTTTAATCTCAAATTTTCTCATCAGAACCCATATAAAATGCTCCTCCACCTGCTAGAAATACATAAACTTATGAAACATCATAATAAGAGGTTAAAAGATATCAAAAAAAGAATAATGATAATAAATAAGTAGATCATGGAAAAGAATTTTTATTTGGTAAAAGTGGTAAATAATATGAAATAAAAATGAGATTTTGATGAATATAAATCATTAAAGAGAGCAGTAACATTAAATGAATTTAAACCTAAACTAAATTATGATCCTAATAATAGGAGAAATAAGGAACTATATGGAAATGAAATAGCAAGAGAACATCTTCCAACTAAAGAAGTTAATTTAGAAGTTTCAAGTCCTTAAAAACCGAAAAAATAATAGTAATAACAATAATAAGATCAAAATCCAAGCAATAGAAAATTAATGGAAAATCAATCTAGTGTTTTTGGAGAAAGTTCTAAGTAAATAATAAGGAAATAAATTATAGTAAGGCAATTTAAGGATAAAAAGTGGAAAAATTAACAGCTTCAACTTAAAAGTGGAGTACAGTAGGAGGTTAGAGTAACAATTAAGTTAAGGAATTTGATCCTGAAACTTATGCAAAAAATAGAAAAGAAGCAGAATTATAATCAAGTGTATTTGGTGAATAACCTATTAAAGTATAACCTGTTTAAATTCCAGAATCATAGGAAGAATCTGAAACTTAATAATGTAAAGAAGGTATATTTTAATTTTAGCTTAATAATAATAATCTTAAAAATAATAAAAAATAGAAAGATTAATACCTAATAATTAGACATGGTAACAAACTGATACTATTAAAAATATGAGAGATTTTGATCCAAATTAATCTTAAGTAAAAGATGAAATTGATCCATCATAAAAAAAAATGGATATTCTTAAATCATCTATGGATACTCATTAATTTGAACCACAATAAATTCCGGCTAATTAAAAAATATCAAACAAAAGTCTTAAAGTAATATTTAAAATAAATATATTATTAGCAAAAAAAAGATATTATTTAAAGAGAAGAAAAATTAAATAAAGAAAAACCAACAAAAACATAAAATAAAAAAAAGTGATATCATATAATATAAGAGATATTTTAATTTTTAAATATCTGTGCTAAATTCATTAATTTTTATTTGGATTTACTTATTTCTGATATGATTCAAGATGAGAATTTTGAAATTTCAAAAATTCAATTTCTGCTTTTCTCCTTTATTCATTATTATCTTTTTTTTCTTTGTTATATCTTTCAAGAGATTCTTTTTTATTAGTTAAGAATTATTTCTAATAAAATAATAAAATTTAAAATACTCTTAATTCTAATTGTTGTTTCTTTTCATTTAATTAAATCATTTATTATTCTAATTTATTTAGTCCATCTTCTGCATTTAATTATTTTTAAAGACTAAATGGTAGAGATCCTTCATATAAAGTTTTATATGCAGAAATAGTTTTATTTAAATCATCTCGAACTCTTGCCAAAATAACTCCTTAAAAAATAATTATGATTATGATATACCTCTCTCCTAACAATCAATTGTGACTTATCTAATAATTTCATCAAAACATTAACCAAATAATTCTTCTCTAATTGGACAAAGAGGATATTCTCGAGCTTATCTAGATACAAGTCTTTCATCTAAAAGTTTTTATAGATTTGTAATATCATCTCTTGAAGGAGGAACAATTGAAACTGTTTACATTAATCTCCTTCCATCAATTTCCCAATCTCTTGGTCTAATTAAGGAATTTAAGAGTTCCTATAATCTAATCAATATAGTTACATCTATTGTAGGCTTTGATTCTAAAGCTGGTATAGGAAGTGATTACTTTTTTCTAATTTATTATAATGTTGCTTCTTATTGATTAGAATATTAAATAAGAGACTCAGATGGAATTTTTCTATTTTCATCCATTTTTTATTCCCTTTTGGATTTGAAAACAGAATTAACTTGCTGCAATTTCAAAATGTTCTCAGACATTAAATAAATTAAATATTAAGATGAATATAAAGTTTTCTGAATCAAGATTATATTAAATATATATATAAAAACTACATTCTTATTAAAGAGTAAAGTAAATGTCATCAATTTTTATTTCAAAATTGATATCATAACTCAAAGTATAAGTATTTATCTAATTAATTTATATTCAAAAAGACTCAATATGAAAAACCTAGTTCAAAATTACAAGAAATTTTAATACTAAATATAGATAACTTGTATTTTAAAAGTAAAAATTGAAAATTTAATATTTTTCATAAGTTTAGACTCTCCTTTTTTAGAAAAATTTAAGTTATTAAAATTTAAAATAAGAAAATTAAATGTCTTGATTATTTTAAATATTTTCATTCAAAAAGAAGATTTTATTCAATAGGAAATAATAATTCAAGATATAATCAATCAAATTATTAGGCATCTTCAAAATATCAAAAAATAAGAATACTCAAGATATAGCAGAATTAGTAAAAAGAAAGCAAATAATTGCCAAAATATTTAATTTTCTTATTTGATTAAACTATAATTAAATTTACAGATTAAGTCTAACTCTACAAGAAGCTATGTTTAATTAATAATATATATACAATAC